TTACCAAAGTGAGCAAGTTACATTGGGACATGGAAGGGGGAGCCTTAAAATGAACATTCATTATATTTTTCACGCCCTATATCAGGGCAAGCTGCCATGGGGAGGTTAGCCTTCTATCATTTGCCCCTCCCACTCCTTTATCGGCCAACAAACTCGGGCACTGAGAAACCTGGACCATTGGATGCATTCAGCATGGCAAAGACAGGCCTGGCCCTTTGTCTCTTACCATCAGGTCCTCAAGGAAGGGTGCAAGAATGCAAACCTAAGAGCATACAGAAAGAATGGTTCCACCGATATTCTCCAATACTGTATTAGGCCAGGTCTATCGGAGACCCAAAAAGTCAGCTTAAGGTACGCAACTCCAGCTACATAAATGCCATTGCTGGAGTCGATGGACCACAGCAGGCGGTCGATGGTAGTAAACTCTCCCTTCAGCTCCCCTTACTCCTCATGAATCGAGAAGTATCGGCGCTAACAGGGGGCCACCTCAGTGTTTGATTTAGCGGGTCCTTACTAGACCTGCTAAATCAAATGCCAGAAGATTGATCTCTGATGTGGCAAGTATAGACGTGGCCTTATTCTTCTCTGTTTATGTGGTTTGGAGCTTTATTAGTGATCTTAATGAGGATTGCTAAGGTTTTGCCTTGCCCTCTGTCTGAGTGTCCTTGTCAAACACCTCAAGGGTCCCTACGAGATATTGAACTCAATGGGGTTTTAGTTCCGTGTAGCTAGATTCTGCGATATGAGCCCCCTTATCCTCCACCAGCCCTGTCCACGGCTCTGCCATTCACTTGGTGTGAGACTTGACGCAAATCTCTCCGTGCTCCGTCTGCAAAATGAGGGGGTAATACTTAGTTAAACATTTCGAACACTCTGAGGGAAAGCTTTCTATTTTGTTATAGCTGCTATTAAATAATTGTAACAATCGTTAATATAAAAACCAGCCTTTCAGAGCAATTATTCCAAAGTGCACTATTGAAATACGAATGTCTCGAAAAGCACACGTGACTCCGTTTAGCGTCTTTCCAGTTTCACAAAGGACAAGTGACAAAAAAAAAAAAAAAAAGACCAAAATGTATGAGCCTGGTAAAATAACGATGAGAGACACCGTTAAAACTCTCGCTGCTTCCAGACACAAAACATGAATGAAATTTGCCAAACCAAAAATATGAGTCGACAGTGTGCTCTTGTAGCCAAGAAGGCTAATGGCATATTAGGTTGCATTAAGAGGAGCATTGCCAGCAGATCCAGAGATGTCATTATTCCCCTTTATTCATCTCTGGTGAGGCCACACCTGGAGTATTGTGTCCAGTTTTGGGCCTCCCACTACAAAAAGGATGTGGATGCATTGGAGAGAGTCCAGTAGAGGGCGACCAAAATGATTAGGGGGCTGGAGCACATGACTTATGAGAAAAGGCTGAGGGATCTGGGTCTTTTTAGTCTGCAGAAGCGAAGAGTGAAGGGAGATTTGAGAGCAGCCTTTAACTTCCTAAAGGGAGGTTCCAAAGAGGCTGGAGAGAGGCTGTTCTCAGTAGTGACAGATGCAGAACAAGGAGCAATGGTCTCAAGTTGTGGTGGGAGAGGTCCAGGTTGGATATTAGGAAAAACTATTTCACTAGGAGGGCGGGGAAGCCCTGGGATGGGTTCCCTAGGGAGGGGGTGGAGTCTCCATCCCTAGAGATTTTTAAGTCTCAGCTTGGCAAAGCCCTGGCCGGGTTGATTTAGTTGGGGTTGGTCCTGCCTAGAGCAAGGGGCTGGATTTGATGACCTTCTAAGGTCTCTTCCAGCTCTACGGTCCAATGGGCCACCTTCATTTTCTCTCCTGTGCCTGGCCCCAATTTGGGAAACCACTAGGCATGTGCTTTGCGTAGTGGGGCCTCTGACAGCACTTAGTGCTTTAGAGGAAACACACCATCCCCGGGATGTGCTTGCTTTTGCTATACTCTATAATGAGCTAAATTCTTCCTGCCTCCGGCTGATGTCATTCTGCATCCTAAAGCAGTGTTTCTCAGCCAGTGGTACCCTTAGGGTACTCGAGAGAAGTCTGGGGGGTCCGTCTGACATTTGACGAAAACTGAATTTTTGTGTTACGTTTTACAGCGCTTTATGATTTTTGTACTTTTTACATCCCAAAATTTCATCGCCCGCCTGGCTACAATTAAGTTTTGTTTAAACAAATGTGTTGCAACGGTAGAAGAAAAACGGCGCGAAATTTCATCGCCCGCCTGGCTACGATTAAGTTGTTTAAACAAATGTGTTGCAACAGTAGAAGAAAAACGGCGCATGTCTGAAAACCGTAGTTACTGGGGGTACTTATAATTTTTTTAAAGGGGTACTTTATAAAAAAAGGTTGAGAAGCACTGTCCAAAAGCAAGAAGAGGCAAAGCCCTTGAATTGCGCCGCCCAACCTGGGCCTGCAGAGGGCACCAGTGAGAAATCTCCAATCCCTTTTAAACAGCGCGGTTGTGCCCGGGAAAGCTCATGATGCAATCTACATGTTGTGTTAGTCTTCAAGGTGCTGTTCGTCTATTTGTTGTTTTTTAAGTGTTTCCCGTAACTCGGCTCCCCCTCTGAAGCTTTTTATATTAAACTTACTTCTTTGGAATCTGGCTGCAGGTTCAAAAACTAATTGTCTTGGACCCCCAGAAGAGGCTAACAGTGCAGCAAGCCCTAGAACACCCGTGGGTCACGGGCAAAGCAGCTAAATTTGCTCATATGGATAGCACGCAGAAGAAAATGCAGGAGTTTAATGCCCGGCGGAAACTGAAGGTAATGTTACAGAACCTGGCTGTTAATTGTTCTGGGGTATTTCTTCTTGCCCTTTGCCACTGCTCACAAGATCTGCGTCCACTGTGCAGGCCAATTGCTCCACAACTTTTCTCTGACATAAGTTTCTAGTAGAAACTTAAATGAAAAGTTCCCTTGAACCAGTTTTACTAAGGAAAACACAACTGTAAGCCTTTCAATTGTATGCTTGTTTATTTCTTAGGGTGTGTCTAGACTACAGGGTTTTTTCGAAAAAACTTCCCCTGCATCTAGACCGCTGCTGTAAATCGAACGAACGCGGCAGTTTTCGCGACCGTGGAAAACCTCATTGTACGAGGAAGAACGTCTTTTTTCAAAAGTGCTCTTTCGAAAAAAGGCGCTATGTCATGCACACTGCGCTTTTTCAAAAGAGAACATCCGGACTGCCTGGGTGCTCTCTTTTGAACGAGTGGCTTGCTTGTTGTCGTCTAAATGCTCTTTCAAAAGAGGCTTATAGTCTAGACGTAGCTTTCGAGAGGACAATGGGTCCTGATCCTGCAAAGATTTATGCATATAACCAGGAGCAGCCCTAGACTAGCTGCCAGCAACTGATGCCCTAGGCCAGTGGTCCCCAACGTTGAGTGGCTGCCGGGCGCCCGGGGGCGGGGCCACGCACGTGCCGCGCGCCCGTGCCCAGGGCAGGGGCCGCCCAAGCGCCTCGCACCAGGGGCCAACACTGGCATGTGCTGTGCGCCCGGGGCAGGGGTCGTGTATGTGCTACGCGCCCAGGGGCGGGGCCGGCCCAGATCGTATGGTGGGCATACATAAATGCCCCGGCAGGCGCCATGGCACCCGTGGGCACCATGTTGGGGACCACTGGTTTAAGGAAT